CCACTCAGTCCTCAGATGCCGAAGGAAAGCACAAAGGCATAGGAACCGAAATGTACCCTTATAAACGTACCTAAGGTACCCACATAAGGAGGCAATGGGCATGTAATGTAACAATGGAGGGAGCGGGCATTTATACCCAAATCTAGATCCAGTCGCGGCTATTTAGTACATTCAAACCTCATGTTTACCGTATCCCAGGCTGGTCAATCCTGTGCTCAAAGCTTTCCTCAACAAATTTGGCAAAACTAGAGCCCTGGTGGGAATCTATAACCACTAAGAATTATTCGTCATTGCACACGTTCATGGATATCCGTTCTGAAAGCAACGGGACATAAAGCATGTTCATTATACAGATGCCTACCTTCCTAGTTTATTCCATGTCGTAACCTGTAAAAAGAACGACGTAGAGCCGGAACCCCGGAAAATCCCACCATAAAGCCCAATGTGCGGGATCCGAACTGGAGCAGACAGGTCTCGCGCTGCGTCAACTGACACCTACCATTTCTTGGAACCCCGTCTGCTGTACTCTCTTAATGGCATAGCCTTTAAATGCGATGGTGCACTGTACCGGACGTCATTGACTTATGACATTGGCACAGTGGTCCTTGTACAATAATCCTGGCTAAACACTCGAAGACCTACAACTCGTGGACGGTGATATGAACGAGATTATCAGCTTCAACGTGCCAAGCAAGTGCATTCAGATCGACGGAACACGCCTTAGCAGACACGAAACGACGACAGTTTGGACGCATTCCGCCTAAACCAGACATACCACATTCCGTCCAAAGGACTTCTCACAGACACAATAAAACAACATTCACAGGCTGTCTAAGTGATTCATGCAGCCAAAAAGGAGACTGCACCGAACACAGCGCACAGTTTCCCGTCCGCAGGCGAACACATCGTCATCGCAAAACCATCAAATAGAACACACCATCGTCAAACACCATCGTATCAGGCCACCCCCGCTTCCATAGCCACACCGAAGGCGAAGACTGCGCAACATTAAATCGGACTCCTTCCCAGCCCCACGCGCAGCAGCAGCCCGAGTCGGACCGGCACCCAGTACAGGCATGCAGGGAGCGGCTGGGTGCCCCAAGACAAACATTGTAGGTTCCGGTGCGCACCACCTCTATTCTTCAATGCATGCACACACCAGACATCTTGCACACTTCCCCAAGCACATTTAGACTTAAATGCGTGCCATCACCTCAAACTCTGTATTTGAAACGACTAGAAGGACCTCAGATAGTAAAACCCCACTAATCCTAAGCTTGTAGCTGTAGGCATTTACCGAGAGGTCGGGATATTTTCAGGCACAGGGCATCTGATGAACATGCAATGATCATAACACTGAACTGAGAGAAAACGGTCTGCACGAGAATATTTATGTGGTGTGTTGTCTGTTTAACCACCCAACTTGCCTTTCCTTGACCTCAACTTGACATGACATGTTCCGCGACCCAGCGTTCAATTTTGCTCGACATAGTCCTGCGGACTGTGCGGGGCACCAGTCATGAATGCCGACAGCGCCTTGTCCCATGTCGGGTCATGCTCAAGGTGATCGTCCAGATCTTGAAGAATGGACTTCTGCATCCTGCCTAGGAGATCCGACATGGTGTTGTGCGCACCGGCCGTTGGATTAGCCACAGGCGATGGGTGGGGGGGATGGGGGGGGGGGCGCTGCGGACCCCCGCGGGCGCCGACTGGTCAAACGGTCTGACATGACGGGGGATCCACACAGTCATCGCCATCGCTGTCGTCATCGACTCGGTCCCTTGGGTTCTCCGTGAAGGGCTGAAGGGCTGGCGTCTCGGCGGCCTTCCTGGACGGTCCTGACGTCGGTTCTATGGCGGGGCTGGCCTCCGCCCTCAGTGTGGCAAACTATCCAGATGGTGTATCACGTCGTCCTGTCAAGAAAGAACAGCCCAACTGCCCTTTGAAAATCGTCTGATTTCAATGGGAAAAGGTAGTGTGCGTCCTCCCAAAATTATGTGCAATCTACAGAGCCGACTAACTTTATCACGGCTGAATTGGTGTCTGACCAACTGTTTCAGCGTGATCCTGTTTGTAAGCTGTCATTCTTTTAATTTCAATGCCCGGAAAACGTCTAAGTGTCCCACAGTTTCTTAGCATGTTTTGATCTGCAATAAACACCTGCTGTAAGTATTCTTTGCAAAACGTAGTGCAGCTTATTTGAGGAACATGTGTGGTGGAACAATGACCAGAGTGCTGATGTGTCGTAGCAAATCACCTTGAAACCTTACAATCAGCACAGGACTTCAAAACCTTTCATCCTAGCCATCAACGCCTTAAATGTACCTTTAAATATCAGATGAGTTAGTCATAAATAAATTATTTTTCATTCTTTTCAAATCGCAGTTCTATTAAATTTTTATTAGAAACTCTCAAAAATGGATATTGTATAGAACATATAATGGTGACGTCAACGTTATCCCAAACACTCGCTCGGGCACGTGGAAGACCACGGCTCCGCGAATCTCCGGCTCTTGGGGAGGATTTCACATTTGAGAGAATACATATTCTCCACCAAGAAATCCGAGCTGAATACGTGATGAACATACATAAAAGGGTCATCAAACAAAAATAAAAGGGTCAAATAAAAGGGTCAAAGGGTCATCAAGTATGAATTTTTTCTATCAATCTACAGAGCGTCTTCACAGAATCATGATTTGCGTATGAAGCTAAAACAGAGTTCCTTGTTCTCCGTCGAGCAGAACTTTTACTGGCGTATTTATATGATTATTTACGCTTTTTGAGATCTGCCTTTTGTTTTAGCTGGGTATTGCCAACCAAGATCTTTTAAAGAATCTATAAGGTCCTAAAAAGTAATACCAAAAGCGATAAATAACCGACAGCGGCTCTGTCGTTGAAGACTGCTATTGCGTGCGCGCCATTTATGTAGCCTGCCGACCTTGTTTTGAAGGAGCCACGAGAGGAGCGGTGATAGCGCGACTGGTTGGCGGTGCGGATCAGGGCAGTGTATAGATTTGGCTCAGTGTCACACACCGAGAAAAGTTTTGTATCAGACTCAACGCCGGTGAGTAGGTGTAGTGATGCTTACCTTATGTCACGGGGTTGCTCTGTGAGGATGAAATAATTTCTCCGCCCCTACTACATTGGCATCGGAGCCCAGATCACGCAGCAGCCTGACGTCTCAGGTGGTGTAGTTTTTTACATAATTTAGTGGAGCGGGTGAGCAGAGAAATCTTTTATCCCCCTGAAATGGAGCAAACCATGTTCTCCCTGATTTTAACCAAGTTTTTTTTTCTCTCATAGTTGGGGAGGGGTTGGCATCCTATCCAGCCAGTGTCTGAAATTTGGGTGTTTCTTGGTGTTTTTCGCCCCAAGACATTTTAGTCTCCACAAGTGTACACTGGAAAGAATACGAAAAATTGTTCTCCGTGTTCAGCGTGAGGCGTGAGCCCGTCCCGAAAATCGGCAAGGCCGCGCGCCGCACTCACCACGACTGAAAGCGGCATGCTGCTGGCGGGTTTCAGCTGAATCATTTTTCAACATTGGCAATGGCACACAACTTTCCTCACAATGCACTACACACTCAGGTCTGACCCCGCTCACCAGCATATTTTCAACCCACCTGCCGTCTACCGACGACACTCCCTACCCCACACGGAAACCAGAACGCCGAACCGCAAACAACAATCGGCCCTCCCGGCGGGGCGGATAGCCAAGGAGGAGAAATAACACGGGATCAGCTGTCACGACATGATTAAACTTTTCTGGATTACACAATGAAATTGATATGAAAACAAATGACGTCACAGTACGCCATGCATTTAAAGATATATAAATACATACATAAACATAACGTTGTTTTAGCACGTATGGAGTAAAAAAAGCGATTCAGTCGTTTCATATATGTTCTTTATCCAATTTTCATGTCAAGCTATCAGAATGAGAAATTCTATGCAAGGTATTACAATGACGTCACAAAGCATCCTAAACACTCGTGCGGACACGCAGAATCATGTGCTCCGAAGGGTCCATATCATATTGTCCAAGGTACAGAATGTCCAAAGGTACAGAATGTCCAAAGTACAGAATGTCCAAGGTACGCAATGTCCAAGATGAGAAATAACTTCCAAAATGGCGCAGAGAGGAAGGGGCCCGTTTCATAATGCCCAATGCACAGAACGTCCAAGGTACAGAATGTCCAAAGTACAGAATGTCCAATGTATGTATTGTCCAAGGTACAGAATGTCCAAAGACCAAAGCTTCCAAACTAGTTTCTACAGCGGCCGCCAGGCTATGAATGATCGCCCTTATTGGCAGGCAGCGTTACCCCGCCCAGCGCCGGCCGCGCGCATACAGTCGACACCATTACGAAGAACGCGCGCGTGAGGCTGGCCGGCCGGATTACTAGCTTAATTACAGATCCATGTCCGCTCCACGACGCGATGGAGCCGGCTGGAGGCGCCGCGCCGAGCATTGGTCGCTGATTGTCAAAGTTGAGCCCGGTGAGGTTTGCCTGCGTTTTGGGCTGCTAAAAAAACATCGAAAGCAGGCGGAATATGAAACGGAATTATAGCCGCGCTATGCCCGAAAATATAATTGTCGAAATCGACACCAGCAGTGGGCAATTCTGGATGCCGATCTTGACTGCTCAATTCTCAGTATAATGCAGACATCATAAGTTCGGGTTAAGAAGTTCAAACAAGTTCAAATAACAAATAAGCTCGAGTTGATTGCTTCTGGCATCATACATTAGCATTGTGGTTTTGTAGCATTGTAGCATAGCACTAAAAAAGGTTTTGAAGTGAAATAATTTTGTAGATTTGTTTAATTTGCCTTTTTATTTAAGCTGGGTGTTGCCAATAAATAATTTCTAAGAACTCGGCAAAGTCCTAAACAAGCAGCATTGAAAGAGAATGGAAGCCGTAATTGGGGCCGTTTCCGTCGTTGAAGACTGTTCCCCTGTGCGGTCGTCTCCCGGGAACGGAGCCGTGGTTCGGGGCCGTGCGGTGCAGTCCCAGAGTGGTGGTTGGGGGTTTACGGCCTTTTTCCTGTTATGCCTGGGTTGGCTGCGTTGCCGTGCCCGAGTCGTGTCATGTTTGGGTCGTGTGCGGGTCGTGTTTCTCGAACTGTTCGCGTCTGGACGACTCGCCGCGCAGGCTGGCCGGCTCTTATCAGTCGGCGTCCCCCTCTGTTCTCAGTAATTGGCCAGCGGCTCTTGGCCTACCTTAGGGCTCAGGCGGCGCCTGTATAATTTGGTCCGTGTTCCCGTACAGTCGACAGCGCCAGGCGCCAAGTGGAGATCCATATCGGTGAGCACCTAGCGACAAGTGATTCCTGACGTGGAACGTGTGCTCGTGCAAAGGCTGCAATAGCTACTTATTACGTTCCTGTTTTTTGGGATCTAGGTTGCTGTATGTTCTTTACAGTTATGAGGTATTTTTCATTTTGGAGGTGCTTCGACTGCCATGGTCATTTTGCAATTTATATTTTATATGTGTCCTGGTTTTTCATAAATCCTCTCTCCTTCAGTGTTTAAAAATAGTATGTTTCATTTTGCAAATGAATTTCTTAAAACTTATGCCAAATAGTGGCTAATTCACTTGTGATCATGTCAATCTGTAAAAAATCCATCCACAGCTGGGATGCTTACATGATTTGAGTGCACTCAACCCAGAGCATTTGTGTAGTTGTGTACCCAGCTCAGGCCAGGGCAAATTGTACAAATTGTTTGAATTAGACTTACTTTCAGACATTTTTATGCCAGTTCTGCTCAAAAGTAATTCAGACATTTAGGACACATAACAACTGCTGAGGGTTTGTGATTAAAATGCAGATTGTTAGCATGTTTTAATTTCTTCCAATTTTGCTTTGCTGAACAGAGCTGCTGGTAAACTTCAATGCCCTCCTGGAATTCTGAGGTAGGTTTTACTGGATTGTACTCAGCATCTCTAGTGTGTGCATACTGATGGCTGCTGGTCATATACTTTCTAATGTCATGTTGCTTAAGTGTAGTACAGCTGCTATATGCCACCTGATTTGGTGGGTCTTGTCACAGGTTTTGTCTGCATTGAGGAGTTTGTGAACAGGCCTGTGTGTGTGTGTGTGTGTGTGTGTGTGTGTGTGTGTGTGTGTGTGTGTGTGTGTGTGTGTGTGTGTGTGTGTGTGTGTGTGCGTGCGTGCGTGCGTGCGTGCGTGCGTGCGTGCGTGCGTGCGTGCGTGCGTGCGTGCGTGCGTGCGTGCGTGCGGGCGGGCGGGCGGGCGGGCGGGCGGGCGTATGTGGTGCGTTGTGCGTACATGCATGCATGCATGTGTGTTTGCATGTGTGTCTGCATCCAGTTTTAATCCATAAAACTGTTGTATGGTTTTTTAGCTACCTTCCTGGATCCTGTTTCATTCTCTTTGTGCAAAACTGACGTTTCAAGATTCGTTTCCACGGTGCCAAACTTCTTATAACTGAGATATCAATTATATAGCAATATGAATCTGGGCATCGCCAGGGATGGGGTCGCTATTAGGCTTGTCATGCAATTTCGGCTAAGTGCTCAACCATCTACGATTCGTGTGTTCTAATCCCGGTTGGATGAGTCTGTATTGCATTAATTTTGCGAGTTGAGCAGCCTTAGTCGTACAAAGTTACATCACGTATAACTATATCATCACATAAGTTTATGTAAAGCATGACAATGGATGATTGCTAAATATCACGTACCATTGAAGTGTTGCAACGTGGTGTGCTGCTTGCAATGTGCGACGTTTTGCAGTACTGCAGTTACGCATGGTCTTATCTCGGAGGGCCTCGACTTACGAGTAGGCTGGATGTGATTCTAGGCGCCATTTGGCTTTGTACGGTCGTTAATCGTTTTTGCAATGTGTAGCAACCCTTTGCAATGCTTTCTCAAATCATCTTTATAGAAGCTTCCGTGCGTTGTGTGAACAATGGAGGTGGTGCTAGGGATATATCTCGCTTTATTAACCCCCAGACGGTGTTGCAACGTCCTGTAGTTTTCAAGCAATTGCCCAATTTCACCATTGATTGGCTTCATCTTTCCTGGAGCTGTTTATGATAATCACAGGGTTCATTGGTGCTTATTTTGCATTATGAATGGCTGCAATATTCTGCAATATTTGCAACTACTATTAATTTGGTTTCTGGACCATTCGCACTTTGCGAAGTCGGCGACGGTGTTTATTTCGTTTCCTCATGACCTTTTTCATTGTGGGCCAGTAATGTACCCATATGTTCATGCAACCTGGCCGTCCCGCAAAGAACCACTCTACTCCGTGCTCAGAATGTGTGAGATAAGCAATGAGCTGTACCCACGCTGTTCATGTGTGAGGATGGGCAATTCCTTGAGAGACATTCAGGTAATGTCGCGTCACTGCTCCGGGTGGAGTTGAGATAGGGAAATGATACTGAGAGAAGTCTGTTGAGTGGTCCCTGCTGTACCCGCCCGATATGACTTGGGTTACGTTACGGCCAGCAGAGAATGTCGCCCACTCTCTCCTAGTTTGTCCTTGGCTTAAACATTACTTGATTTGAGTTGGAGTTAAAAGCCCATCCCTTCTCTCCGCTGAGCTCTCGTTGTTCATATTGGCCCTTATCATATATTGTTTTTTCTGTTCTGCTCATTCATCCCACAATCGCCATATACTACAATCATTCATCGTACTCCCAATTAACTTCGCCCCATCCCGCGAGTCACATCTCCCACGTCCTGTAGGCAAAGTTCCTGTTTTATGAGGGCCACTTTGACTGGCTACCCCTCCCTCTCGACGAGATGAATTCTGTTCTGACAGTCCAAAGTCCGGTCTCCTCGATCCGTAAAGTTAGCAGTGTCGGCGGACACTATGGGCGTGGAGGCCCTGCTTACATTGTTGTCTTTGGCCTCACGCGCCCGATAAGTTGTTAGTTGATCCAGAGTGTTTCGTCGGCCTGTCCCCGACAACATGGCAGCACGGGGAAAATGCTTAGTTGCCTATTTTGCATACATGCCTGGTTTATTTGTTCACCAATAAGTGCTCCCAAGAGCAGCTCGTTGGCTCTGACTAACTTAAACGTGGAAACAATATACACAAGCTAAGCAGCGCCGGATCGTTGGCTGGCAGCCCGTACCGTGTCAACCACATGGCGAGTGTTTGACGTGTTTGAGTGTTTGTCACCCAAGTGGTCAGCGCCCTGTCATATGCTGGTAAAGTAAGTCATCAGAAGAATGGAACGGAGATCCAGGCATTGATTCGCATACCTTTGTCATGAAGCCTTGCCCTGATTCACGCTGTTCCATAACGCCGGCTGATGTTGGTGGAAGTGGACGTTGTAGAGGGCAGGGAGTCAATACGATCCCCTGCCTTTTCCAAGCTAAGAAGGAGAGAGTCTCGCGGAACTGAACCCAAGTTGATTGCTCTCAACGAGTTTCAGATGTTGGCGATCACTTATTTGTTGTTAGGTCAATGATTGATCTCACCATGCCCAGTCAAAGGTCAAATTTCCCCGAAAAGCTCACTTTTCCAGCTGTGCATGCCGACATTTATGAAGCCAGTTCATGCAACGACACGAAATGTACACACGCACTTTGTATAACACTGGATGCAGTGCAGTTAACATGCAGTTTGATGCATTTTGAGCATATGTTCATGGGGCTGAGCTCCGTTGATGTAACGGTGTCGGGCCGCCGCGGACGATCGACGAATACGTGAGTTGCCACCTGCTGCCAGCGCCTGGCGTGAATCGGAGTGCTACCTTCCTAAAAAAGGTCACTGCTTGGAAAGGCAACAGGCTCATTGCTATGTCAAAATACGCACAATAAAACCACCATAGACTACCGAGAATATGAATGCGATCTCACGGTATGCCGGAGAGATACCCTCAGGAAACCCAGGGGGAAACCCTCCTCCCCCTGTCAGGGCGAGCGTTAGCCTGACTATGAGGTGGAACCCGAAACAACAGTAAAGGTGCCCCAGAAACCAAGCCAACGACGGGAATTATCTTGCTGGTGTCGGAATGAAATTCGTTAAATCTGGGATTTTTTCCGAAATCTAGGGAGGGTAAGAGGTTGACAGGCATTTCAACCAGAGCACTGCCTCATACTCCAAGCTGAAATGCCAACGCCGAGACTAAAACATTGGTGACACCGCTGGGAGGAACTCCACATATCACGCCCTGATCCCTCGACGGTCGAGTTGAACCGGTCATCACCTTCCCCAATTGCCCGATCTGCGGTCGGAAGCGGGTGCGTGGTTTGCCTCCCCGTCCCCCCCCCCCCCCCCCTATTGAAATGTCAGCTGGCAGTTGACCAAGGAGAAGCAAGCGGGGTTTCTATTCAATAAAACAAAAGCGTCAATCTATTTTTGCCCTGCGTTATATGGACTCGTTGGCCCAACACAACTTGGTCCGCCTGATCCACCTGGCATCACATCTGATTTTGCTGACGACATCTCTATTTGACTTCGTTTGACCCGGGATCTCAGCAATTTTATCATGATTATGCACGATCGGTTATTTTTCACGTCTCACCTTCGTCTTGGTTTTTTTCTTCGTGAGCGTATTGATCTGCGTGAGATTGATTACGGCGTTGCGTTTGTAAATCTCACTGTCATTTGTGTCGCAATATCCCCAGCGTCACTATGTCGCCGCCTGCATGGACAGCGGTGTGCTCTGTGATCCCTCGACAATGATGTGTACATGACATGTGCTCTTTGTGCTGCTACTAAGTTTTACGCCGATTGCCTTGTGGCATGAACTTCTGTACATTACGTCAAATAGGTGTCAAAGGTGTTCCTTCTCCTTTACTGGTTGTACTATGAAGGGTATTGAAACGACGAAGTCGTTCAGTAACACGTGGTCCAGCGTGGCAATATGTTTGTAATCGACATGTGCTGATATTGCCGTGTCTTGAGTGTTGTGCTTTGCCCCAGGGTGCGACAGTGCGTATGACTCAGGTCAGGTCATACTCAGGCTCAGTGCAAAGTTAATAGGTCAGCATGACAGAGATGCATCGTTAATTACCAATGTCTTTTTCAGTGCGTGTCGTCCACCTGGTGAGGAGTCCTTGCTGCCAGCGTTTGTAAGGGCATTGGCTAGGTATCGGATAGTATTATACCGTCGGCATTTGCTAGGACAGCTGGGATAGGCGTTGCTTTGCAGAAATGCCTAAACCTCGGTCGAGTTATTCATCGCACAAAAGGATAAACGCCCTCAAATGCTACGCGTGTAACGTTAAGGTCGTAGCCAAGAATTTGCCCAGCCACATGAAATGTAAGCATGGGGCGGAATATGACATTCTCGCTAAAAAAAGCACGATATATGGCTGGCTCTCTCATTGAAAAAGCTGCTCATGACATGAGATGTGCATCAATTTCTCCACGCCCAACGTTTCCCCAACGGAGCACGTCTTTTCAAGGGGTTGATGAAAGTGTCACAGTTGCCACTGGTGAAAATACACCAGTAACATCGCCTAGTGCCATGTATGTAACGGTTGATTCGTCTGTCATTGAAGGAGTCGTCTCATGTACCGGTTGTGGTAATACAGGTGATGTTCTTTCACAATCTCCTGTGCCAACCGCGCGTCAGGCAGGGGACGGCATTCATTCGTCGGTTGTGAGAGGAGAATGGACAGAAATTACTAGTCATTTCACTGATCTCAGCCCTACAATGCTTGATACACCAAACGCTAACGCACCAGACGACAGTATTGATGACATCGCAGCTGGCACTGCTGGCACGCGTACCCCGGGGCATGGCAAAGACGCTTTCCCCCAAGATGTTATGCAAAATTTACGAAGGCTGTTGAGACGTTGAATACCCCGGCGCAGATAACCCTACCACATTTGCAATCGGAAATGGAAAGCATATGCTTCTTCTGCCGTATGATATTTCTACCTTACCTATATTTGCTTGCTCACATACTTCATGCGTGCGTAC